CATAAGGAAATGAAGCAACAGGGCAGAGACACCTGCATAGTCATAAGTGGCGAATCGGGTTCTGGTAAAACAGAAGCTAGCAAAATTATCATGAAATACATTGCCGCTGTAACCAATCTCAGCGGTCAGCAAGAGATCGAGAGGTACGGATTGTCGTTTAGATTATTTAGAAGCTGATGGCAATTAGTATCAGTTTTCACTATCTAATCACTGTCTGATGTGCAAACCTCTATAAGTGATAAGATTAATCTCAGTACATTTTTATACACGATCATATATTATTTAATCGCACAATCAATATAAAATGCAAAATTCTGTCGAGATTATAGTGAAAATATTTATTCTTTCCTTAGCGCTGCTAAGCGCGATAAAAATGCATTCTTACAGAGTGAAAAACATTCTCATCCAATCGAACTCGATATTGGAGGCATTCGGGAATGCCAAGACAAATAGAAACGACAATTCATCGCGTTTCGGAAAGTACATGGACATCAATTTTGATTTCAAGGGAGATCCCATCGGCGGCCACGTGACTAATTATCTCCTCGAGAAATCACGAGTGGTCTATCAGCAAAAAGGAGAACGCAATTTTCACTGCTTTTATCAGGTTTCGTTCACTCGCAATCACTACAATTTCACGCTTGAAGCTTCCTGCGCGATTAGAAACTATAGGAATATGAATTGCTCGCAAATACAAAATATGTCATATCAGAAATTTAATTTTTAGTTACTGAATGGCTGTAGCGAGGCCGAATTGAATAAGCTACGTTTGGTCCGTGATCCAGCGGCTTATTATTTCATCGATAATGGAAGAAATAATAAGACGGTCTCCTCTGATAGAAATGATTACAAAACTGTTTGTAATGCCATGTTTATCCTTGGATTCTCTGCGAATGAGACGCATACCATATGGAATATCATCGCTGGTATCTTACATTTGGTAGGCAGTTGATATATAAGTAAAACACTTTTCTTAACTCTAACATTTCTTATATTTTTTCTTCCAGTCATTATATGCGTGATTCACGTGATTTACTTTTTCATTATCTTCCAGGGTAACATCACTTTCAGACTGGATGATGACAAACTTATAATTGGGAATAACAGTGCTTTGAACGACACCGCTAATTTGTTCTCCATCAACTCAAAAGATTTGAGCACTGCTCTCTCGCAAAGAGTCATAGCGGCGGGTGGAGAAGTCATGCAGAAGACTCACACTTTGATCGAAGCTGAATACGGTCGAGATGCATTAGCGAAAGTGTGTTCAACTTATTTATTTTCTTATAAAGTTTTTTATAATTGACATGTATTAACAAAAGTCTTTATAAATTTTTCAGGCTATATATGAGCGATTGTTCACGTGGATAGTATCGCTCGTCAATGGATCCATCAACGTAAATAATAGTGACGACATGAGGAGATACGGAACACTGATCGGTGTGCTCGATATCTATGGTTTTGAAATCTTCGATATAAACAGTTTTGAGCAGTTTTGTATCAATTATTGTAACGAAAAGCTACAACAACTTTTTATTGGTGAGTGTAATGCTTAATATACATTTCGTATTGAATTTAAAATATAAAACAATAAATTGTAATTACGAACATTTTGTCACAGAGTTGGTTCTCAAACAAGAGCAAGAAGAATACCATAAGGAAGGGATAGAATGGCAAAACATTGAATACTTCAATAATCAGATCATTTGCGACTTGGTCGAGCAAGCTCACAAGGGAATGATAGCAATCATGGATGAAGCTTGCCTCAATGTTGGAAAGGTCACCGATGAGGTTGCTAGAAGATTTAAAGTTTCATTAAGCGAAAGAAGATCTAAAGTTTCTTAAGAAAAATTAAAACACACCTATTTTTAGATGCTTCTCGATGCAATGGATAAGAAATTAGTGGATCATAAACATTATAGCTCTCGACAATTAAAACCGATGGACAAAGAATTGCAACATAGAACACAATTTAAAATTAAACATTATGCTGGAGATGTGATTTATAATATTAATGGTTTCCTTGACAAGAATAAAGATACGCTCTTCCAAGATTTTAAACGTCTGCTATATCAAAGCAAGAATCCCGTAATTAGCAAAATGTGGCCTGAAGGTGCTCAGAATATTTTAAAGGTACAAAGATGATCGCTCACATATGTGTTATAAATATTATAATCTATATTATAATCGTTTAATGCTAAATGTAGATACAATTCATTCATCTGAAGAAGATTGTACCTAATTAAATCTGCGTATTATTTCTTTTAGACAACAAAAAGACCTTTAACTGCTGGTACATTGTTCCGAAATTCTATGATCGCACTGGTGAAGAATCTAGCAAGTAAAGAACCGTTTTATGTCAGATGCATAAAACCTAACGAAGTAAAATCTCCAGTCGTCTTCGATGATGAGAGAGTAAATCATCAAGTGAGATATTTGGGACTTGTGGAGAACATATTGGTGAGACGAGCTGGTTTTGTTTACAGACAACGTTACGACAGATTTCTAAAAAGGTATTGGATGCAGTAGAATTAAATAATAGCTTTATTTATTATAATGATCAGATAATTATTGGATAAGAATAAAAAATGAGAATGAAATAAATAAAAAAGAACGTCTACAACAAATAAACAATAAGAGAATTATGTGGTTATTAAAACTTTAAGATTACAAATTATTTTTTGAACGATCCAACTATATAAGTATTCTAAATGCAAATCTATCTCTCTGTTGTAGAAATAATAATGAATTTAATTTTTTGTTACCAGGTACAAGATGATATCGCAGTATACATGGCCAAACTTCCGAGGCGAACATGATATGGATGGCGTACGCACATTGATGAATGAGAAGCACTTCTCGGACGACGTTAAATACGGTCATACGAAGATATTTATTCGCTCACCACAGACCTTATTTGCATTAGAAAAGGTTAATTGGCCAAATCTGGATTTTATACATCACGACAAAATTATAGTCATAGCGAATATTAATTATTTCGTTCGTAGATGCGCAACGACTTGATACCAGGTGTCGTGATTCTTTTACAAAAGCAATGGCGAGGATACATCTGTCGTCAGAAATACAAGAAGATGAGAGCTGCGTTGATACTGATGGAATATTACAAAAGATACAAACGACGCATCTATATCAAGCAACTCGAGAGGACATTCAGAAACGCCAAAAATCTTCGAGGTTACGGCAAGACTTTACCGTGGCCACGCGAAAATTTCGCCGTGAGACACGTGGTACCCGCTTTGAGGAATATGTACGCGAGATGGTGGGCGTGGATGATACTTAGAGCAATTCCTCGGGAGGACTGGCCGCAACTTCGATTGAAAGTACGCGCTTGTGGCAATTTTTGCAATTTATCCTTATTAACTTAACCATTTTAAAGATTATCAGTAACTCAATATTCGTTAATTATACTGATTATGTCATAAATATGATTTACAGATGGCAGCGAGCGCTGTGTTGCGCTCAAAGCGATCTTACTGGGGTCAGGATCGACGCTGGGATGGAAACTATCTGTGCAAACCGGATGAGAATTCTCAAAGCGATGTTTTCAACTCGTCGATAAATAACTTACGAAACACCGACCACTTCAAAACCGTTCTATTCAGTGCATTTATTAGAAAGACTAACAGGTTTCTCATTTTGTTGATAATCTCATGATAGATCTAGCAATAAACAGTATGATAATCTAAAAAATAATGCAGGTACAACAAGCCAGCGGATCGTGTTTTAGTAGTGACAGAACATACCGTATATAAGCTTGATGGCGTCAAGTTTAAGAATATGAGGAAAGGCATGCCTATAGCGGAGATCACCGGTCTAAGTGTTTCTCCTGGAAAGGATCAACTTATCACGATTCACTCGAATCGCGGAAATGATTTCATTCTATCGATCATTGCCAAAGATGATAGGATCGGAGAACTAGTCGGCATACTGAGTAACCGGTACTACCAGTAAGTTGCTTTGAAAATATTTTAAAGCTCAATAATATCTGATATGCAAATGCACTTTATATAAATGTATCGTATATAAGAATATTATATTTGTTGGAAAATTTCCAAAAATTGTGATAAATGGTTCAATTGAATTCCAGGGGAAGGGGTATATTTTATATTTAATTGTAATCTCTCTCTCTTCCTCTCTCTCTCTCCCTCCTGGCAATAAAATCTTTTTTTTTCTTGGATAGACTGCGTGGCGCCGACCTGCATGTCACAGTGGACATAAAATTTAAGTGCATGCTAGGCAACAAGAGTAAATTATTATATATTGAGGTGATGCCTGATGTCATCGAGCCTACATTCAAGAAGGACGGTAATCAAATCATTTATGCCATTCCACCGTCGGTGGGCATTATCGATGGTGGTATTAATAAAAGACAATAGATCCATATTGATTAGTTATAAAATCTGACGACTTACTCGAGACTGTATCATAAAAAAATATATTGAATATATTTTTTGATAATATACCGTTGTATGAAACAGTATATTATTAAATATATGTGCCGTTGTGCAATTATTTTATGGAAAGTCGGTTAGCGATTCCGTAAGATAATATTCAGTATTCGCATTTGAGTCTTTCCCGGTTGGATCGTTTTGCATATATTTTTCACGCAGTATTAATCATGTTGTGACGAATGTCAATGCAATTTTATTATGACATTTATGACGAAAGTAACTATATCTGTTACAAAGTAATCAAAGTAAGTGTGATGTTCGAGTTCTGGTTAATTATAATATATTATGCATATTATATTATTATAGGCATTGATATATATTATTGCAGCCGAAAATTCAAGTGCAGGTCTTTTTCCGCGAAAATGATTTTAATGAGAACGTTAACAAGAATTATCACTTAAAAAATTTACTAATTTTTTTTTCAACAATATTATGATGTTATACAACATTATAACTTCTGACTTTTCATTATAACTTTAAAAATTATCTGTTTATGTTTCAATGATTTCAACGAAGAAACGTTTTTAAATCTTTTTTTACGAATAAAAGCAAAAAGTTTGAAATGTCAATTATAATACCTGCATAGATATACTTGTCAAGAATATGTATAAAAAGAAAAGATGTTGCAGTACAAGTTAATTACGTATGTATACATAATGTATACAAGTCACTTGCATGATGTTAAAGTGTACGAGAAATTTGACTTGATGCGATATATTCCATCGAGTATTGCGCACATAATAACGCATTTCTCTGTAAATACTCTAATGTATTATAAATATTGTTAGCTTATATATAATGCGCGTTGTAAAAAAGATCATAGATTTGTATGCAAGTCCTGTGTGTAAGAGAGGACGAGATGTGAAATCCACAAATTTTACCGAAATGCAACAGTGAATGTGGCAGTGATTTAACTTACAGTGTGTGAGATAACTTACATGAGATCTAATTTATATGAGATAATTAAAATGCTACTGTCATATAATGATATTATACAGAATGTTTCTCATTAACCGCAATTATACTGTAAGCTTGTGGCCTTCTATACTTATTACCAGATTGAAATATTTTTTAAAGACTTTTTTACATAAACTCATAGAAATGCAAACAGCAGTACGACAAAGCAAATATATATATATATATATATATATATATATATATAACTATGAACAATACGACAAAATATATATGCACACCCATAGTGCCTGCTAACTTGACACAAATGGAACGAAAATTAATTGCGTCCTTTTCGAAGAGAGATTTTGGATCTTTCGTGTACTTAGATTTAGAGAGACTGTATAGGAAATATATCCATACGATCAAGCTTAATCAAAATACATATATATTATTTTACGATTATTTCGATGTTATTTCAATTAACATGCTGAGGAACTTGTTATACATTGCCATAGAGTCTGTTACTCCGGTACTTATGCATTTATGAAATATTCATTAAAAACAAGATAGTTTGCTTTTTTTTAAATTCATGTATATTCGTAGAACAGAGTTTACTTTATTTCCATCGGCGATTGTAATCGTAAAGTGCTTTAAAACACATTGAGGAATGTGCCATTGTTAGAAAATAAAGTGGAATTTTCATCTTGTATTCTTTGTATGTCCCCTTATTTTCCCTTATAGTATTATAATTTTCCTTATACTGTTCCTAGTGAAAACTAACCATATTATTTAACACATTATCACTTTGATATACTTTCAATATACATAATATATAAAAAAAGTATTTGTATTATTTTTTTATTGTTGAAAAGCAACATCTTTTTACAAAACAGCAGTTACACTAGTCGATCCGTTGATACATGTAAATGTATCCTAACTCTTTCGGTGGGTTTTCCGATAAAGCAACCTGCAATAATAAAAATTTGTAAGAAAAGAAGCACCAAAATTTTCAAAAATGATATCAGAATAGAACTCAAAGATCATCTAGAACTAATTGTCGTACTTTTTCGTCATTAAATATCACCCATCGATCTTCCTTCAATAAATGACAAACGTAATGGCCTACCATCGTCGATGTACCCATATGTGATATAAAACCCACTAGTTTGTATCCTAAAATAAAGAAGCGATTATGAAACTATCAAAAAAGTAAATTTGATCAATTTCTCTCAATGATGATATAAATGTAAATCAAAGCTTTATAAATCTCGATAATAATATATCAAATTATAATAATATATCCGGTTAATTCTAATTTCCTTCACTTTATTTTTATCCATTTTGGCATATACTGTGTCTATATTATTTATAATAGACCGAATAATATTCTTGAGGCTTCTACGGGTGCTTTCTATATAAAAGTTATGCGTTTCGCGGGTTTCCTTCGTGTCCAAATCCATTCTTGGAATGCCAATGTTTCGTAAACCTTGCAGTCCACTTCATCAGGGCGAGTATCAAGCTGCTCCTCGCCCTGATGAAGTGGAACACATAACTTTTAAATAGACCGAATATTTTATTTCGAATTATTGCTACTACAATCCGCAATTTGAAAGACAGATGATTTGATTGACTTACGACTGCTTCCGTCTCTGAACGCTTCCTTCGCTTCCTTCGCTGGCGCCGCGTTTCTTTCCGTTTCTGGAGCATCAAGCTCAGCTTGATGGCTGAAGATCCAATCAGCCGCGCGTTCTAAATTGTTGTTGGTCGCTTTGAGTGCTTTTGTCGCTTGTTCCCGCGTAAAACCCATGCTCATTACCATTTCCAAAGCAGCTTGATCTGGCACAAACGTATCTTCGCCTGAAATCAATAATCAAATAAATAAAGTCAATTAATTCGACGCTAAAGCGAATTGATTTACTAGATTTAACGTCGACTCCTGGTGGCACGAATGGTTCATCGAAGTCGGAATCCGCAATGTGTTCCATCACCCAATTGGTCGCAGCTTCGAGATTACGGTTCTGCGTAAAATATAGAGCTCGCTTGCACGCGTTTGGTGGGAAACCTATGTCCATCAATTCTTTTAAAAGATTTGCATCATAAACGGGCGCTGGTGGCGTCGCACCGTCCGGTAACAGTTCCTCGCCGGACTGTAAACCGTTTCCGCGTAAGAAGCTCAGATCTACGGTGTCCGGCATCTCTATCGCCACATCTAACTTAATAGGTGTCCAATCTTCTTTCACTGTGAACTTCTTCAGATGGATCAGCAAGTAATCTGGAAAGCTGGCTAGTCTGGTAGTTCTAAAGAAATAATAATGTAAAAAGAATTAGCTAAAAAATCGAATCTGCTTGATTTTTACAATTATGAAATGAGAAATTCAGAAATATACAGATCATAATATTATTGATTTCTATTAAACAGAATTAAGATGTTCGAATATTAAATTATCAAGTGAATAGGATAATGTCATTGCTAGCTAATCAATAATTATAATAATACTTACTTATGTGCTATCGTCTTTTCGTTTAATGCTGAACTATAAAACTGTTCCACAATTTCCGTGCGACTGAAACTTTCAAGACATGACGACAATTTTATACGAGGTCTCACGGGATTATTAGAATCTAGCTTCTGCCCTTTTGCTTTGACTTCCTTCTTCTGAGCCTCGTATGCAGCTACCTCGTCCTAGATATATCACTTAATTAATTCCGGTATATAGCAAGGGCATTATTTTCCAAAAAGATTATCAAATACGTTCAAATGTACACACCTTATTCACTGCCGCTTCTAACGGTATCGGCAGTGGCAGGATATATTCCGGACGATTGGTGTACTTGACCTTGTTAGATTTGCCACACTGATATCTTTCCTCGACTTTAAATTTAAAACATTCCGTGGGACACACCTCATGTCGATTGTTGCGCTATTTAATCAATTTCCCAATTAAAATCTTTGACAATTTAACTTAATAATAAAGACGAAAAAATTAATAATTACACTGAGTAAATTAATCAGGTAAAGAAGGAATTCCTGAGCATCTTGTTGTCGATTCGAGAAGAAACCAGCATGTCCGCGACCAATCAGAACCTTAAACATCCGCGGTGGAATACCCTGCCGTGACTCGTCGTCCGTGCCGGATTTGCTCGGTTGATCCGAGTATTTGCCAGAGAGTAAGCCAATACCCAATTTCGCCCTGAAGAAATAAAGGTTCGTTAAATTATACTTCAGAATTTTAGACAATTGCAAAATACTATCTTATCGAGTATCATCGCGTAACTCACATTTGAACATTAATGTCCGACGCCGGGTCGTTGTGATTATTAGCGAATATTGTTGGCGCTCTCTCGACATATCTGAAATTTACTGGCAATTACTGGACGTCGATCCTATAATATTCCTTTTATCAGAGATACTCTGTCAGTCCTACGTGTATAGTCGAAGTAAAAATCATTCGCGGAAAATGAAAACACATCATCGACAATTTTACGCACCTTTTAACGAAATCGGGAATAATAAACAGCATTTGCATGACACTGTTGAGGTAGCAAGAATTTCCCAGATTAGTCAGCCCAGTATAGCCGGAGCCGTACAATGGTGTCAATTTACTGGCTGCTTCTTGAAGGGACACCCATTCGCCAAACTTTTGATTTAGATCCAATTCTAGCTCGATCATCGATTTGTCCGTTTTCTCCATCTGAGCAATGTTGATACCCCAGTGCGACAAATGCATTGTCAGATTCGGATCAACTACCATGTCGTCCTCATCATACGAAAACACGTCGGCTTTACCGCCTTTTGTGATTGTGCCCAGTTTCACAGCCAGAGGATAGCTAGTTGCACGGTAGTGTTCCTCCGCGTGACCATTGCCGCCACTTCCATCGTAGAACTTACGACCGCAGAGCACACTACCGTCAGTCAAATTAAGCCATAAATTCTGTGTGAGATCGCATTTCTCGCACTTCCAACCACTCGGCGGAATCTTCTTGCCGTTGTCCAGCTGCTTCAAAGTTGCGGCATGTCTGGAAAGTCCGACAAAATTTATTTACACATTCTTACTTATAATAAAAGATTTTTACGAAGATTTTATAATAAAAATTTCTAATACATATATAACCAAACATTATTCCAGTGATTAAAAGAAGTTGAAAAAAAAGTTTTTATATCTTTGAAATAAAATTTGAATACATTAATTCTGAGTCATGATTTAAAAGCAACTTGAAAGCGTTCAGTAAGTTATAGTATGAAGGATATTTGTGAAAATCTCTCTTTTATTGAATATATATAATTTATAATAGACGCAGTCGCGCAACTAATTGTATATTAAGATCACCCTGTGATATTAATAAATGCCACAATAAACTTTTCGAGAGACTCACTTTGACTCCGCTCTGACTTCTCCATCCCACATACTGGCTACGGCTTCTACTTGTGCCACCGCCCATGCACCTTCCATTTGTAATATAGTCTTAACTGCATGTTCCACCTGCCAATAGTATTAAATATTTTAAATATACTCTTTGACAAAAAAGTTATTTAAATGTCGGGATCATTTTTTTCGTAAGAGTGACATGCTCAGGACCTTTCTCAGATTTTTTTGAAAGATCGAAATAATCCCGTGTCATATTTTGGGAATAATACTTTGTCATATATCTATCACCATTTATGAAATTGATTTTTTTGTTTAAACCTGTGCATAATATTTTTTGTCAAAAACTGTATAATTAATCATATATAATAGAATTATACACAAATAAAGATAGTAGAGATAATAGAGTCTGGTCATGAGATGTCAAAATTTTGATTGTCGTTTTTGTTGACTTCAGTAAGGTAGAATAATAAGCTTGTATGAATTAGAATGAAATAGCATATGAAAGAAGATAGTATATATATATATATATATATATATATATATATATATATATATTTCATTCTTA